CTCCGTCTCAAAAAAAAAAAAAAAAAATATGCCCTGTAGTTCACCTGCTATCACGGTGGGTGTAGACAGAGAGGGAACGCAGAGGGGAACCACACTGTGGGGCTTGCAGGAGGGAAGGAATAGTCTTCCAGTCAAGGTGGCAGGGCTTGCTCTTCTGCCTAGCAGACACATCTCAGTGAGGTTGTTGCTCTAGTTCCAGAATATTCAGAATGACTTTGTTCCTCTCATGGAAGTGGGTGAAGGCAAGGCCTCAAAACAAAAGCTAACTTGTGGTACCAATGGGATAAGTGAGGAGAAAGCAAAAAGGCCTAAAAAGGAAGTGGTTCTTGGGAAACAGTGTGTCAACTACACAGAATATCTAATTCAGCCACAATCCAGATCCACGCTGTAGACATGTTCCCTATACAGAAATGAGAAAAATCAATTCTTGAGATTCTTGTAGTAAACTCTCTTGTGAATGCCAAAATTCCTTATCAAGTACAAGGAAACCTTCATAAAACTGGACAGGCAGTTAACTTGCAGTGCAAAAAAATGCACAGGAAACAGAATTCAAAGAAAATATGTGATTTGGCAAAAACCAGAGTGTTTTCTTTTCTTTTCTTTTTTTGAGACAGGGTCTCATTCTGTCGCCCAGGCTGGAGTACAGTGGTGTGATCACGGTTCACTGCAGCCTTGATCTCTTGGGCTCAATCAATCCTCTCACCTTAGCTTCTTGAGTAGCCGGAAACACAGGTGTATGCCACCAGGTCTGGCTGATTTTTTGAGGAGACAGAGTTTCACCATATTGCCCAGGCTGGTCTTGAATTCCTGGGCTCAAGTGATTCACATGCCTTGGCCTCCCAAAGTGCTGGGATTACAGGTGTGAGCCACTGAGCCCAGCCAAGCATTATCATTTCTATCTTCACAAAGTTAGGTTTTCATGAAAGCCTCAAACAACCTCAAAACGTTGTTTGACTCCCCAGGTCAAGGGTCTGGGGGAGTTTCATACAGTTGGGTTAATGTCTCTGAGGACTCACAGCAGCAAACAAGGCAAGTGGAGGGGCAGAAGGCGGATCACACAGTGTCTTGTATGTCAGGCCAAGGAGCTGTGTGTAACAGGAAGCCAGGTTACCCTTGAGAAACACGCCACTTTGCACAAGGAGGAAGACACTGGGATCGGGGAGACTGGGTAGAGGCCTCCTGCAGTAACCCAGGCAAGGCATGGTGACTGATATGGGCAGACAACTTCTAAAGCAGTCTTATCCAAGATAACTTTCTGTGAGGGTAGGAATGTTCTATATCTTCTTCTGTGTTTACACTGTGCAGTACAGCGGCCTCTAGCAACATGCAACTGTTGTGCACTTCAAATGAGACTGGTATGACTGGGGAACTGAATTTTTTTTTTTCTTTTTTTGAGACGAATTCTTGCTTTGTCGGCTCACTGCAACCTCTGCCTCCAGAGTTCAAGTGATTCTCCTGCCTCAGCCTCCCAAGTAGCTAAGACTACAGGTATGTGCTACCACCCCCAGCTAATTTTTTGTACTTTTAGTAGAAACAGGGTTTGACCATGTTAGCTAGGATGGTTTCCATCTCCTGACCCCATGAGGCTCCCACTTCGGCCTCCTAAAGTGCTGGGGTTATAGGCGTGAGCCACCATGCCCAGCCTGAATTTTCTTTTCTTTTCTTTTCTTTTTTTAAGATGAGGATTTCACCATGTTGGTCAGGCTGGTCTTGAACTCCTGACCTCAGGTGATCCACCACCCTCGGTCTCCCAAAGTGCTGGGATCACAGTCATGAGCCACCGCATCTGGCGAGCCTGAATTTTTTATTTAATTAATTTAAATGGCCACCTGTGGCTAGTGTCCACATTGGGGAGTGCAGCTCTACAGTCTGGATTTGAGTGGGTGGTGAGGACAATGATAGAAACAGACACTATGTAGAGAACAGGAAACAGGGGACAAATTTTTGGTGGGTGAAGGCAAAGGAACAAAGACCTGTTC